AATGCATTATCGCATATGCTACCGTCATGTACTCTTCATCATTTAATCATGTTAGTACTTCTGATTTTACATATACCATGCATCATATATAGACATTTCTATATTTTTTGTATTATTATAATACGGTGAAAATGTGATAAAAAGGATAAGTACTAGATAAAATTACATAGGATTCATTGAAAATGAAATCGTGTTGTAATATAATAAATCTTGTGCGTGAAATTAAAAATTTTGAAATGTTGAGACAACTGAATATAAAAATGTTTTATAAGCAGAAAAAATTATTATATTTCCATAATTTATTGTTGGTTTCATTTTGTGTTGCAGATGTACCGAACAGTAAAGACAACTGATCGAGCTCCAGTGTCTTCAGGTAAAGCTTTGTTGTTGAACTTAATTATGTTGGACTCCATTTTTATCTCACAGTGATAGTTTGTTATCATTTTTATTTATTTAATTATTAACCCGAATGGTTTCCATGAAATATTAATTAGGGCAATCTGATATTTACGAGAATGGGTCATCTGGGGATAATTCTGACGATATCATGTTTGATATTCGTAACCCAAGACAGACAGATCAGTTATCAACGGAACATGGAGGAAGGTCTAGTGTTCACCAAGAGAAAGATTGTCAGTATGGTCTATGGAGCAATTCTTCAAGGTGAAAACTTTTCTCAGCTGTTGAAATTTATTATTATATTTTATGTAAGGAAACTTTATTGTGGTGAAAGAATTGGTACAATCTTCACCCCAAAGGATGCCCCCCCGACCCTTGCACACACACACACACAAAATAAAAAGTTTTTTATGTGGACATATATAACGAAAAATTATTGATGGCAACTTTTCAACTTTAGGCTTTTCTATATCATATACCATTCAAAAAAGCAAATGTGTAACAGTACTTTTCAAACATTTATCAAATTTCAGGACAACCCATGGAATATTAAGGTTTTGTGGCCTGCAAATTATAATTAGATCAACCCTAGCCTTATTAATCTCATTTACGTATCAAAATAAGGATTTCATGTTCTTGATCCAACATTTATAAGGATGATGACTATTAATTAACAAGACTCTGAATCGTTCACCATTATTATATGTCCATAGGATATTTTCAGATTATATAACCAACATAACTATCAAATGACTTCAAGGGTTAGAATAGATTTGCAGTTCAAAAAAAATAAAAATAAAATAATAATAATAATAATAATATAATGAACATAACTTCAACATAAATACTTAAATAATCTTCATATATCGTGTATATATATCAGGTTCTTCCATTTTAAACTACGTGTAGAATTTGGTTTCAAAGTTAATCTCTTTTGTGAAAAAAATTGTGGATGCAAATCCGTTAAATTCGAACCTTTCTCTTACCTTCTCTCAGCTGTTTATCTCTATGTGTTGTAAACTTCCCTTTCGTCCTCTATTGTATCTTGGTGTGTATGAGTAATGGCATTTCACATGGGTTGATTTTTGGATTTATCTACAAAGAAATATAAATGAGAAACTGGGTATAAATAAAACATGGTAGATAGCATTTTTGAGAGTTCGATTTCCATATGGACTTACCACTGATTGGAAAAATTCCCTCGTTAATTTACTGATCTTTCTAGCAGGGAGGCTTGGTTGCATGGAGAACATAGAGATTCCGAAGGAAACAAACTATATCTTGAGGTATATATGAATTTTTAATTCATCTTTTCAAATTACTTAAATAATTTAACAAGTGAGTAAATCTCCTTTTGCTACTTTTCATACACTCTTTTATCTGATAATAGTAGTTTTATGCTTTTGCATGGGAAGATATAAATATATTCCAAAATCCATGAGAATGTTATGTAAAGATGGAAGAAAGAAAGAAAGAAAGAACAAAGCTTTTGAAAAGCTGATTCAAGTCACCAAATTATTTTTTGGTCAATCACACCCTTCTTTAAGCTAAAGCTATTAAGAGAAAACAAGGCTAAAGGGTGCTAGCTGCATTATAAACCTTATATGCAAACAATACAAAGACGATTCATGATATATAAAGTACAATATGAATAGATTTTTAATGCCTTGAAGAGTGTCCACTTAGTATTTTTGACAGGTAATAACATTAATATATATATCATATGATGACGCCATTGAATAACCAAAATTACCGAATTACAAAACAAAAGTGCATCAACTAAGGGAATGATATCTATAAATACCCATATGAACACATTAATTACAACACGATTCTTTAGATTATGATTTTCACTTAGCTAGCTTTTTCTCAGAAACATTATCACATCTCATGTTAATTACACACTACACATGCACATACATATATAGTTATGTGCTCTTTCTTTCATTATGGTATATTATAACTTGATGCAGTTTTCATGGTAAACGATCTTTCAGAAGGATATGAATTTAAAAGGCCCGCATTATGAGCGGTTGTCAGAAGTGAGCTCATCAAGCCCCAAGAAACCTAATCTGGAGTTCACTTTGGGAAGACCACACTAGAATGTGATGACAAGCGTATATTTATATATGTATGTATGTATCAGCATGTATATATATATATATATATATATATATATATACACTACTCATTTTGATATAATTGTGTTTTTAAATGGGAGCTAGTGAAAGAGAATCAGTACCACTTCAAATATGAGGAGAGAAAGGAAAGTAAAGGAAAGAAAAGAAGGAAAAAAGAGCTAAAGAAAGACAAGGAGACAAGAAAGACAGAAAGCAACAAAAGGGTGGAGTGTTTGAAAAGCAGGTCCTTCATCTCTAATTTGTGAGAGATTGATGTCTGCCCTTTTCATAATATATATTACATTTTCATCATATAATGTTCTGGGTACGAAGATATGAATGAAATCCAGTTAAAGTTTTGTATCATCTACCCT